CTTTCGACAAAGATTCGCCATATGATAAAAAATTGCCAGACTGGTCTGACATTTTGTTTGCGTTTGTTTACAAATACGAGTTTAAAAATAAAAGGAAAATGAGCAAATGCGACAGTATGGTTATTTTGAAGCCATAAATTGAATTTACAGGGGAAAAATATGCTGCTTCTGTGATATGAAATTACTTATACTGTGATATAAGATTTTGTTCATACCCCCCAACACTAATTCTCATCTATCGAGAGCAGTTCTGTCTCCGAACACCAGACTGTTTGATCACATTGATTATTTTACATATTAACTGTTTTATGTTCATTTTAATCAAGCTAATGTAGACTTACTATCATTATCATCAAACCAGGTTCAACAATGTTGTCCAGCCTGACTCACACAGGAAAGACAAGCTGGTTTTGTCATATAAATATATTGTGGAATAGTGAGTGCTTGTTGTTACCATACAGGATGTTTTTGACAGTGAGGTCACCATTCCTCTATGTGATGTTGACGGTGCTGTGATTTGTAAGATACCATTTTTTAGTCCAGTCATGTGGAGGAGGAACCCCTTCATTTCATTGAGGAAACTGTTGCAACAGCCATCAAAGCAATAATGTGTAACAGCAGCTCATTTCATCCTCCTTGTGATTTTAAGATATTTTAGGAAGCTTTTTTTTTTTTTCGGATTATCAGCTGTAGCACCATCATTTTTCTATGTCTGATCTTTTATTTATATTTTTCTGTCTTGTCCTTTTGATTCCTTGGTAACTTAAATGTTTTTTGTGTTTTCAAAGTAAGGATTTGTGTTGGAAAAGCTTTTTGAGAGGTAAAAAAAATGGATCTTTACATATGTAAGCACAACTGCAGTACACTGTTTTTTCACACTCTTATAAACACACATACACACACGCACAGACATGCGCTCAAAGTATCACAAGTCCAGATGGGAGTGGAAAGAATCAATACAAAGACAGTGGGTCTGGTTGATATCTCTGCTGAATGAGTATCTCTCTTTCTCTCTGCTTTCTCTCTCTCTCTCTCTTTCTCTCTCTCTTTCTGTCGGCCTTGTTTTTCTCTTCTGCTACCTTTCCCTATTTCTCTCCCTCTGTCTGTTTTTCTGTGGCTTCCCTTTTTTCACCCTTTTCTTCTTTCCTTTTCCCTCTCATTCTTTTTTCTGCCCGCATGAAAAAACACACACAGACACACACACAATACACGTACACACACACAGACACACACAACACACACACACACACACAAAGTAATGAACATTTCAAAATCCAAAGCACGATCTTTCAATGGCCTACTTTTTTAGAGCCTCCAATGTCATGCAAGTAAAAAGTAAACTCACAGAAGCAATATTGAGATCTGTGGGAGCAAAAGTAGTCCAGAATTTGTACAGGCAGGATCAGTTTGGCTCTTCTAAGCGAGGCGGTTTGGGCATGGATTTAGTCTGAAGAAGATAATCTTGCTGGGCCATTCTGGGCTCACACAGGTGGCTGTGTTTGAGCTCCTTTGGGTAACAGCACTCTCCTTATGAGGTTCCAGGAGTCAGAGCTTTCAATGCGGATTGTAAATGTGATCAGTTTCATCATCGTTCTGGACGTCACAGTTAACCCGAACTTCCTATAAAACTGGATTCATGTTTTTTTGCATGATTCATTAAATGCTTGAAATCCTGACAATGCTGAAACGGTGAGCTGACATTTAAGGCGTGTTCTTACCTTTTCATGAGACTTTTTTTTTTTAACCTTAAAGAACATTAGACCGCTGAATTGTACCAGTGATGTTTAATTCTAGGGCTGATTGATACAGAGAAACAGTATGAACTGCTCAATTTCATTTTAAGACTTTAAGGCTTCTTTGAAACATGAGGTGATTTCTACTTTCTGCAGACTGAAATGAACGATAAGAATCCAAAAGACCATGACTTTTTCAGTTTTCTGAGCAGAAGGTTTCTAATGTAATAAACACCCCCATTTCTGAACTTAAATTCATTAAGACACAGCGTTTGTATAGCTGTCATCAGGGCTGCACAATAAATCACAATTTTACTGTCAAGGGAGTATGAGCTCTCAGAATATGCATATTGCAGAAGTTTTATTTTATTGCAGCAAAAAGTGAAAATCATATGAACCAAAGCATTTTTGTTAATCGCCATGGTATGATATCCATGCTTTCATCTCAAGGCAGTCAGATGAAGTTCAAGTTAGCGATAAGCTACCCTCAGAATAATTAGTGCCTATTTGGTCGTGATTAAAAAACACCAATGAATTTATTCTGGTGGGAAAAGTTGTGAACAAAAGTCTAGTGTAAAACTTGCAAACAGTTATAAACAGAAAGGCTTTAATTTATTCTTCATATGCACTCTATTTGTAGTAGGGCTGTCCCAATACAACTTTTTGACTTCGGATTCGATACCGTTATTGTAGCCTCCAGTATTGACCGATACCGATATTGGTACAAAATTGTGCATGACAAGTTTTTCACTGAGCTGCAATGTCATTTTCGGACTTCAACCAAAAATAGGTTGTTAGTACCTTAGTACACACTGTCGTTGTGATTTTGTGGACTCAGCTTGCTTGATCAGGGCGCTGCTAGATAGAGGTGCCGGAGAAGAGTCTGTAATGGATTGCTTGTATCGGAGTGCTGATAGCGGAGATTTTAGATGCAGGCTGATATAATCCGATCTTCGTTTTTTTATTTTTTTGCTGATATCGGACAAATTTCTGATATCAATATCGTATCGAGATTCGGGACACCCCTAATTTGTAGTTACTTCAGGGATCTTTCTGCCTTTCTTGGATTGGACAGCTGAAGTGTGCAAGGGGATGTAGGGAGAGGAGAATTGGGGTCGACATGCAGGGGAGTTAAACCAGCAACTGCACTGACAAGAACTGTGGCCTCAAAACATTGGCTGTACACTGGGCTAAACCAGTGCCTCATGCGCCCTTGTTTATAGCATTTCATATTATTATTGCAATAGTGAGCACTGTTATTGCATATTGTTGTTAGCCTATCTGCTATCGTCCCTGAGTCTGGGTGTATTTTCTAGTGTTGTTTTGGTGTCTGATCTAAAACTCAGTTATCTTCTCAGTAACAGTTTCATGTCCAGCCAATCTGGGGCACCAAGTTAGCCCAGCAGTTAATTTGTGTGCCTAATGTGTGGAGGCTATCGTCCTCAAAGTGGGTGGCCCTGGTTTGATTTCAATCTGCAGCATATCATTCCCTACTCTCCTTTCAAGTTTCTTACTCCATGACTTCCCTGTTCCCTTAAAAGCCCCCTAATTAATGTAAAAATAGGAGTTTGATGAGATTTTTGTTGAGTATATGTTGTTATTCTGTTATCCTGTTATTCCCTGTTGAGCTTGTATTGGATCAGACTTGAAAAAGATTGAATGTTTCTTACATTTTTGTAAAAGTGAGCTTTGTAAAAAAATGTTTAAAAGCTAAAACACATGACAGGATGCTTCTTAATTATTAATCTCATTGTGTTCAAGATGATTCGATAAACCATAATTGACAAACAAACCCACTAAAGAGCTGTTCAAGTAATCCTTGTCTAGTTGCTGTGTGTTTGTTTTGTTTTTCATTTGCTTATACGAAGGGGCTAACTGCAGTAGGTATTGATCCATTAGGTGGCCATCAGCTTATTGATTAGACTCTGACCTGATTGATGTGAAGTTTGGCCAGTAGGCTGATTGATTAAATGATAATTACAAATTTGTGTGTGTGTGTGTTTGTGTGTGTGTTTTTGCAGGCGCGGCTGTGGAAGGAAAAGGAAAGGGACACCCGTGAAAGTCTTTGTTACACACACCGAAGAGGAGAGTGTGCCTGAACACAGCTTCAGCCAAGGTCTGTGTGTGTGTGTGTGTGTGTGTGTGTGTGTGTGTGTGTGTGTGTGTGTGCATCTGTCTGCGTGTCTGTGTGATTGGTATGGGGGAGGAGCATGTGCAAGTGAGTGTGACCTACTTTTGTGTGTGTGTGTGTGTGTGTGTGTGTGTGTGTGTGTGTGTGAGTGTGTGTGTTTGTCTCTGTGTGTGTGAGTGAGTGAATGTGTGTGTGTGCTTATCCATACATGTGCTGTGTTTTGCACCTGTGTATGTGCTCCAGGAGATGAGGTGATGACCTTTGAATGAGTCTGTGTGTTTGTGTTAGTGTGTGTATTTGTGTTAGTGTGTGTTGCCCTTAGTGTCTGTGTATTAATGTCTGTTTGTGTGTGTGTGTGGCTCTACATACGTGTATGTAATCCTTTTATACGGACTGTTGCTGTGTGCTCTCAGGTGATCGAAAGGAAGCAGTTGAGAGCAAACGACCCACGCTGGACGGGCCTTTCTACAACACAGAGTCTGCACCGCACAACTGGTGAGAGTACACACAAGTTAAACATTTGTACTACACACTGCAATAGACACCAGTGTAATTAAAAATGATCCATTACACTTCTGAGTCCTGGTCCAGTGGTCCAGTCATTCTAAGCCATTTAGTCACACTGATATGTACCTGAGAGAGCTGTAGACTTGTTAGTAAGATGAGAGACCAGCTGCACTTTGAGAACTGAGATCTAAAATCACTGCCATGTAGCAGCGGCTTGAGCTTGTGTGTGTAGATTGGTACTGTTTGCCTACTGCTCATACAACTGTATCTCTACAACTTAGATATGAACCTCACAGATAAAACACCAATTTATAATTTCAACTATTATTGCCTTATGGGAAAAAAAGATACCAAATCAATTTAACATAATTTCTTATTCAATCAAAACTGATCATCTGAAAACTTTTTTTTAGTAGACAGATGCCCCCCCCCAAAAAAAAAATAAATAAATAAAAATAAAAAATAAAGTAAAAAAATATTTTTTTGTTAATATAATTTAATTTTGCTGGAGACTGACTGATATAATGGAGTAAAATAGAAGGGGTAGGTTTAAAAATAAAAGCATAATGCCTCATCTTACTGCTGTTTGGACATGTTGGGTTCACATTATTATTATTATTAGTTGTTGTTTTTCATTTTATCTTATTTTATTTTTACTTTTTTGCTTTGATTATTGTTATTGTTGTTTTAAATATTCTCACTAGTTGTTGGTTTGTTTTCAGTTTACCTTTGGTGTTGTACGCACATGTTCGTAAATAAACAAACAAACAAACAAATAAATAAATAAATACTATCTACAGATATTATCCAAAGACTATAACAGATTCAACTCTTACCTCATAATTACAGTGGTCCCTCAGAGCAGACACATGGCAAAGTCTCCTCTGGATCCAAGTCCAGCTTCTGCTCAGCCTCCACACCAGCTCCTCCTGCTTCCTCAGCCCCCACCCCAACACCAGTCCCTGCTCCCGCTCCGACCACTGTGACCTCATCCCAGGCCCCGACTCTGACTCCTGCGTCCACGGCTCCAGCCGCCCCGACAGCATCTGCTCCAGCCCCGACGGCAAGCTCCTTTCCCCCCTCCCCCAACTGCCGCATCAGAGAGGTTCACTGTGGCAGCCAGGTGAGGCTGGTCGTCATCGCCATTCGAGACATCTCTAAGGGAGAGGAGATCACTGTGGACTACAGCCTGACAGAGTGGGGCGAGAACCTGGTCAGTACCTTCAAATAATAGATCGACACTGTCTTTATACTTGAGAGCATCTACTAAGTCCACGCTTTTATATTTTCAGAACAGCCAGATTGTAGAAAATGAGAAAATTTGTGCAAAAAATTAAAGAATAAAAAGTCAAAACTTGTTATCAAAAATTTAGGGAGAAGGGCTTCATGCTGGATTCTCTATCCTGCATCAGCACCTCTGACTAGATGTTAACGGACATCAGTATCTTTAGGATGTGACGGTTTTATGTATTATCTTATTTTGTTGTTGAATTACAATCCAGTCACTTATCCAGTCACTTTATCCCTAAAATCTCTTGTTATTTGTGGTGGCAAAAACAAAAAAATCCTGTAACTTTTCCACAGTGTCCTTTCTACATGTCGTATATGAGCAACGTCACAATACACGCAGACTTCCCCCAAAAATGATCTAGAGCATCAAAGTTGATTGTTGTTTATTTAGGAGAAAACTAGATAAAATAAATAAAAAAACAAATGTTTATCCAAATAACTTAAAAACCCTTCATTTAACGGATTGCTGCAAAAGCTAATCAATCACAGCTCATCCCGCGGTCAATGACTGTGACCTGTCTTGTCGTCTCACATCAGCCGCTCATATTTATAGACGGGCGCCCTCATCCCCTGCGGAGGGCCCAAAAGAGAAGAAAAGTGAAAGCAAATAAAAATAAACTCAAATGTGGCCCTCACTCTATTTCTTACCCCTTCATTTGTTTCTCTGTGATGACTTCATCCTCATAAGCATAGAAAAACACTCACACACATCACATATAGCTGATAACTCCAGATAGGCAACCATATGTGCGTTTGCACACTGTTGAGCAGCTTCACACACGTATTCACACTAGCCTCTGTGCACACATTCATGCTACACACAGACACACACACACAGACACACACACACCCACAGAGAGCTAAGGGAGGCATGGGGTTACCATGGTGATGGCAGAGCTCCAGCTCCCTCTCTACCTATAGTGCTTTAGCAACGGTAACTGTGGTTCTTACAAGACATCTGTTTCTTTAATGGAGCTCATTAAATTGTCCAGTTTACTTAATACAAAATAAAAACCCCACCTACAAAAATAAAATCTACATTTCTGAGAAATTATTAAATTGACATGAGGCGTTTGAGAGGGAACAAAGCCTTTAAAGGTATATTTTTTGTATATATATCCAATGAAACCTTTAAACAGATATTTATTTTGTTTCTTTTCCAGTCTGATTGATTACCCTCTGTGTCTAGAAAGCACGATTTTTGGGTATTGATTTGTTTCGCTTGTTGCGAAGGTTCGAAATCCTGATCAACCCGTGTGCCAAGGACTGCTTATAGAGGGGAGTCATGGCGATTTTAGATAGATGACTGGTGATGATTGTGACGGCAAACAATAATGAGCTGTGTGCCAGGTTTTAATGTGGCTGCTTTGTCTCCCGCAGGGTTTACGGGGTACTGTGTCGCCAGCACAACATGACTGTAACTCTGACACTGAGACGGGCAGCAATATCAAAAAGGTGAGAGAGAAGCAACTCCGAAGTAAAAATCTTACAATAATTGAACCTTTTTACTTCAACAATGATTTTAATTATCCCACAACTTTATGTTCAATGTCACAACATCCTGAATTACTTCCCCTCCATATTAACAAGATACTGAATGAACTTTGGTTTCATCGTCAGCACCCATAGATGCAGCTTCACTGATTACAACAATTACAATGGGCAGTAATGAAAGCACATAGTCTATTCTTTACACTGTGCCTGAAATCAACCTAGCACTAAATGCTAACTTCACAGAACTTCAGAGAAGTTTTGGTTTCAGTGATATCTGTCGCTGGGAGTAACTGAAATGATGAAATTCACACTTTTTTTTCACTGTCCAAGGGTATCTGTTAAAAACATAAATGCCACAGGCCAGTCTTTAGGAGTCTTTTTTGTAAAAAAATAAAATAAATATATATATATTTTTTTTTTAAAGATGAATTCTTACCTTTTTTTCTATAGTGAGTTTTGACATTTTTCTTAACCAAGCGTATCGATTTTCAGCTTTTTTCAAACCCAAAATTTTACGTTTTTTTTTTGATATTCTGACCTCCTCTCTTCAAAAGCATAATGACAAAACCTCCCATAATTATTATACTTACCACTGATCTTAGTACTCCTCTATACATATGTACCCCTTGATACTCTCATATGTTTCCCACAAGTTTTGCCACTGTAATATTTAAAACCGCCTCTGACTCGGTGCGGTGCCGCTAGGATAACAGCAAGCAAATGTTTCTGTTATTGTGATGTACTGCTGTGCCTGCGGGCTGCCACCTGCCTGGATGTGGGTGGACAATTCAATTTTGGACTCAACATAATCATTACCATTAAATCTTCCCATCCTCACTCTGATAGCAGTTTATTATTATGTGTAGTTTTCAGAAATCCCTGTTAAGAGTTTAACTCCTTACTGGTGAAATAAGTGACTCCACCTGAACAGGCTCATGGTGTCGACTCTCAGCCTTCATTTCGGTTGTGGGAGACGCTGCGGCATCACTGATCGCTGGTGTGCAGCCATTTAACTGTCAACTGTCTTAACAAAGATTTATATATTTTTATTGGTGACAAATAATGACTCTTGACTGTGAAACTTTGACACAACAGGGCATCAATGTCAGTATTAATGGTCCAATTGCGCTATGATGAGACCATGGTGCTTATATTTATTGAGTCATTTATCGTGGTGTGAAAGGAGTCAGCATTGGGCAGAAACATTGACCCCTGTAGTTCAGAAAAAGTCCTTTTTAGTATATTGAGCCTTAAAACCTTTTAACACTCAACGACTTGCTCGTTTTAAACTTGTTTTAAATAAACTCATAATAGAACAAAACAAAGAAAACAAAATCAATCTGGGAAATGATCATTTATAAGTTTAGTATTATCAAAAAATGTCAGAATGTACCAGCAATTGCTCAAATACTTCCAAAATTGTCTAACCCTTTTGGGCTCTTAGGACATTTTTGTCCTTTCATTTGTTGATCATTTTGGCTGCGTTAATGCAAAAGGGAGGATTTTTTTTCAGGGTTTTTTTTTTTTTTCTTTCCAAATTTTAAAATGTGACCACCCATTATCATATCAGGTCAATATTCACTGTGTGACAAAAACACTATACGTTTAGGTCCTTAGATGGACATTTTTGTCCATCCAACACAATGTTACATCCAACACAAAAATGCATCAAAATTAATGTTTTTGTTACTTATTGGCACATCATAGACCTTGATTAAAAAAAAAAATTCCTGTCCAGCATGTTATATATGAAAGATAATCCAAATTCCTTATTTTGCTATTGAAAAAAACAGTGACATCATATAGTGAAACTGGCATTTAAAGGGTTAAAATTCTGAAAATGAAATAATATTTGATAGATATGTTCAGGACTGAAGTTGATTAAAAGATTTAAGCAAAAAAAGTGGAAAAAATATCAATGTTTGATATTTTTATAGCACTCTTAGGAGATGGACATTTTTGTCCATTTAAGGACCTAAATGTAACTTTTTTAAAGGAGGGTTAAGTAACAAATGTCTTCTTGGACAGCAGGTGAAAATTTTATTTATTTATTTTTTTAACTTCAGGAGGATGAGCCTCTCCCGCTGACAGCCCAGCAGCATCAGCGGCAACATCAACATCAGCATCAACAGCAGGAGTATGTAACCCCCTCTTGGTCCCTCTCCCCCTCCTCCTCCCCCATCTCCCACTCTGATGCCAGTGACTCAGATGCAAGAGATGAAGACAACACCAGCCCCCGTGGGCGCGCACAACGCCGTCGCAAAAAACGCCGCGGCACTCCTTCAAAGAAAAAGGTCCCCCATCGGACCCCACCCGGTCAGCCACCGGCAGCCTCCTCCGCGGGCGCTCCTCATTCCAGCTGTCCACTTCCTTCACCCCACCCCCTCGCACAGGCCTCCTCTCCTTGCACCTCCTCTTCAGGTAAGCCTGTGTTCAAAGCACCTGCTCCGCTGGGCTCCAACTCTTCCAGCAGCATCAATATAAGCCCCCAAAGAGGAGGGGTGTCCATAGACTCCATGCGCCAAACCTGCGAGTACTGCGGGCGCCACTTCCGCTCTTTAGGCCGCCACTTAGACAAACACCATGCCCACCAACCAGAGGTGTGCTCTGCCTTGGTAGAGCGCTACACACAGATGCCCCGTCTCCACGCACAGAGCACACCCCTTAGCCCGGCTCACACACACACTCCACAGCACTCAAAGTTGTCTCACGGTGGGGCGCACAGCCGCTGTTCAGACCTTACACACAGCGGCGTCCAGGACCTCTCGATGTCTCCGCCTACTCTCACAGCCGCTAACCAATCCCTTGCCTCCTCTGGAAAAAGCTCCACCCCTCCTGTGCTGACTCCTCCGCGGGGTCAGAACGCAGTGCCGGTGTCCGTGCTGAAGAGGAGCCCGCCTCCTGTGGCGGTGTCGCAGTCCAGGAAAGGAGCGTCGAGGAGGTTTAAGAAAGAGAGAGCAGAAGAGGACGAGGAGGACGAGGAGGAAGAGAATGACGACGAAGAAGACGTGGAGGTGGTGGAGGTGAAGCGGCACAAAGAGGAGGAGGATATTGAGGTGATGAGCTCGCAGTCATTCAGCAGAAGGTCAGCCAAAGAGATGGTGCCACCAAAAGAGGAGGAGGAGGAGGATGAAGAGGAAGAGGAGGAAAACGGAGTGATGGAAGTAGAAGATGAAAGTGGAGCAGAGGACAAAGAAAAAGACTTACTGAGGTAATCTGAGTTATTTGACAGCAAATCTGAGATAATAGTCGTAACTAATGACAAATGAAAAAGAAGTAATCGCTTCATTTCTCTGTTTTTTTTTTCAGTGGTTCAGGGCGTCACCACCTGCTGCCCCTCCTCTCGTCCTTGTCTTCTCTGGTGTTGTACCTTCGCCGCCTGCAGCACTCGGCCTTCCTCTCCCTGTCACGGCAGCTTCAGTCTGCAGAGGCCTGGCGTCTCCTCTGCCACTCTAGCCTGGCCCTCCTCATCCTCTACAACCGACGTCGTGAGTGCGAGGTCTCAAAGCTGTCCATCGCCGAGTACCGCGCTCGAGTCACTCCCCAGTGCCCTGTCCCCGTTCCACCGGGAGCCCCACCAGCTCTGACTCCACTGGAGGCCTCGTTGTCCCCCTTCGAGCGCCTGGTGCTTCCTCACCTCCCTAGAGTTGGGGTCCAGGGTAAACGCGGTCGAGTCCAGCCCCTCATCCTGCCCCCTCACTGCGAACCCTGCCTGGAGCTCCTCCTGCAGACACGACAGGATGTGGGTGTGGATCCAGCGAATCCATACGTCTTCGCCAGGCCCTACCACTCCCCTGCCACACCACTGAGAGGGACTGACCTCCTCCGGAGCCTTGCTCGCTCAAGCGGCACCCGTAATCCCCGCGCTCTGACCCAGACCAGGGTCAGACGACAAGTAGCTATTCTGACCCAGCTGCTACTTCTAGGAGAGGGAGAGGAGCCCGGGCAGCCTGGAGGCAGTGCTGTGGAGAGGTTGGAGCACTTCCTGGAGAGGGAGTATCATGTGACACAGAACTGCGCCGGGATTGGCCAAGACCCAGGGCTGATGGGTAGAGTGGGCCGGGTTGTGCTTTGTGGAGAGAGAGATGGAGTGCTGTTCAGAGGGATGAGCCTGAACCACATCTGCCTGGAGCTGGATGGTGAGTTAGAGAGTTGTCTGAGTGGGACTGAAGTGTTTTTCCTACATGAGACGTCATGGCTCCATTTATCAATCAATCAATCAATCAATCAATCAAATTTTATTTGTATAATTCACAACAGTCGTTATCCCAAGATGCTTTCCAAAGAAGAAGAGCAGGGTAGACCACACTCTTTGTTGAATTATCAAGACCTAACCTTAAGATGGGACAGATTTGACCCGTCTCATCTAACATGAGTGACAGTGGTGAGGAAAAACTTCCTTTTAACAGGCAGAAACCTTGAGCAGGACCAGACTCATGTTAGACAGCCACCAGGCCGCTGCTGGGTTGAGGAGAAATACAGAGAGACAGGGAGGGAGAGAGAGAAAGAAAAGGGAGTAGGAAGGAGAGAGAAAAGAGAACAAGTAAGAGAGAGAGCGAGATGGGGGACGGCAGCAACACTAAGACAACAGTAACAACAACAACAGCTCATACTGAGTTGTGGTTGCAGTGAAAGTAATGATGAAATAATATGAATTCAGTTGACATTAATGATGTCAGAAGTCTGTTCAGATACAGATGATCCCCCCCCTCCAATTTTTGTGGATGTTTTTCTGCGTGGAATAGGAGTTCAGCAGCGTTCTGATACGTTTTTTTCTTTCCCAGTTTGGATGCTGGATATTTGATTGTTGTTGACTGGTTCTTACTTTTTTTCTGACACCAGTGCATTCAGAAGATATCAAATAGAAAAGCACAGATTTCTTGACTCTTTGGCAGCTTTTACTTACATCACACCTTCTGGCAGCACTGGAGTAGCCATGTTTACGTGGACACAAATAATCGGAATAAATGCCTGATCGGAATAAAAATGCATCATGTAAACATGTTGATCGGAAGATTCCGATCCAATTCGGCTCAATCGGAAAGAAATCGTATTCCGATCGAGAGGGGTGGTTTATGCCGATTGTTATTCCGAAACGTGTCCATGTAAACGCGTATTCTGATCGTGACTCTCTTACCTGACTCGTTCTTCACTCTTTTGCCTTTGGTTTATTTATTGAGACAGTACAGGAGGTTTCATTATTAACGCTCTGGCATAAAACACAACCTGTAGGTACCATGTCTTCTCCTTCGGTAACATAAGGCATACACACAGCGTAATGATGTCACATCTGCACGCACAGTGAAACCTTTGACAGAACAGTAAAATAAGTAAACAAGGGCGCCATCTAGTGACAACATTTAACAGGGAGAGAATATCATGAATTGGATGGAGGGAGCCACTACTGCGTTTGTTAGTTTGTTGACAGCACAGGCGTCAGTACGACTCTTCTTCTGCGGTTGTTTTAGCGAAATTGGACAACTCTGCGCATGTCCAAATGCTTCTAATCTGAACCTTATGATCGGATTATTCGGTTTTGCACCCACATAAACGGTGGATTCAGATTATCCGATCCCACAAATTTTTAATCAGATCAAAAAACTTCGACCATGTAAACGTGGCTACTGTTGTATGTTATTGTTACATAACTAAAATCACACACTTTTTGGATTGTCATAGTAAATAACTCTTTCTTTCTTTCCTTCCCCTTCTTTCCAGTCATGTCAGGAAACTCTGCAGACTCCTACTCAGAAGGAGAGTCTGAAGGAGAGGTGAAGGAGAAGCCTGAGCTGCCAGCCCCTGCACCTGCTCAGACCCCTACACCCACCCTGCTGTATGTGAGGAAGGGCAAGAACAACGGGCGAGTGGGGCGACCCAAGAAGCTCAAGAATGCCCAGCCGGCCCCTCCACCTCCTCCACCTCCACCTGCAAACCGCAGGAGAGGCTCAGGTCAGCCCACATCAGGTTTGTTTGGGTTTGAAGGACAAGTGCAATTTAGAGCTTTTTTACATGTGATGAGATTGGGAAGTCTTTCAGGGTTTTAGGGGTCATCAGGGGTCTGTCGGAGGTTTTACTGCCTTAAAAAATGATCTAATTTTTTTCCTTCCTCTCGTAGGAAAGCGAGGTGTCCTGAAGCGACCCTGGTCCGAGGCCGAGCGCGCCGCAGTTGAAGAGCACCTGACCCAAAACATCACAGAGCTCCGAGTACCCGCCAAGGCCGACTGCGAGCGCTGTCTGCAGCAGTGCCCCCTGCTGGTCAGCAACCACCGTGACTGGCGAGCCATCAAGTTCTACTGCCACAACCGCATCCAGCTGCTGAAGAAGAACCAGCGGCGTGAGAGTGAGCCCCTGCCCCTCACTGTCTGCTGAGTAGACGGCGAGTGTCAGGCCTGGCGTGATTAGAGCAGACTCCCAAATGGTACCGTGCTGACCAGGAAATGCACAAATTTCAAGATGGTCCTAAATTTCACTCCACTCTTCTTAAGCGTAGCTCGTTTTGACCGGATTTAATGTGACCCCCTCATTGCATTTTCAGTTGTACCAGAACAGAAATTGGAATATGACTTTTTGCTGCTCTACTTTAAGGTCTTAAACTATTACACTAAGAGTCTTTATGGTGCTCCTGGTTTGAGGGTTGCACTTAAGTCTTGTCAAAAGCAGTGCAGTGGGCCGGGTGCTGTTTGAGACCGTGGCACTGTCGTGTTCTGTTATATAAGGACATTTCTTTTTCCTCTCCTTCCAAAATGGATACACTAAAACTGAAATGTGAAAAGGGAGGGTGAGCCTTTCAGTGTTGTTATATGAACGTCGTGAAGTAGCATTAGTGTTTCATGCACTCTGAGACGCTATAGGACAAATGGCCCATCATAGGGCCACACTTTTCTTACTAGTGGCTATATATATATGTAAGTAGAGTAGGAATAACTACTGCTAACTGTAGAAGAACAGCCAGACCTATCCTCAAACAAGCTAGTTCTTCTTTTCATACACCTGACCGTGCAATTCTGACTATAGTTTCATTATATTTGGACCTTAAGTTACATGTGAGGTACTCTGAATGAGCTCTTTTGCAGTTTCTATGAAGTTTTTTTCTTTTTCATATCTGAGTTATCTTCCACAAAAACAAAGAATTTTCCAGACGGGGAGTTGTGGGTTTAATGAAAGAGACAATTAAAAGGCCTCTGAATGTTGTGAAGTTACCTAAGATGTTAAGTTAAATGTTAAAGTCCAGAAATATGAGAACTGTCCCTAAATCTGTTCGTTGGACTTTAGAAAATGTCAACACTTACTATTTTCCTACGAGGAATGGTATGTTTTCATTTCATATTGTTTGTAGATTTTTTGCTCATCAGCCTGTTGCACATTTGAGCAGTAAAGAAGGTGCTACAGGCCTATAAGCTGGATATCACTTTATGTGTGGAGAGGAGGTTTCCTACAGTTTGTGTTCAAAGTTTCCCTAAAAAGTGGGCATTTATCAGTGATTGTTCTGTCTTTCCACTTTTGTTGCATCGTCTGTGTTGTTGTCCATTTCCCAGACGGCTAGAGCACCTCTCCCTTTCCCCTCATCACACTACATGGTTTGCAGCTCGACCAGATTTTGAGTTTCCCCTAAAGTTGCTGAAAATCTGCGTCCATAGGACTCAAAACCTCCACGAAACCTCAAGACAGATACTTGAAGCAATTTAAACCTTTTTTTTTCCACAATCTTTTGTTCTTTCTTGCTCTAGCGTTGCCAGTTACATTGTACATAAAACAAATATATTATCATATGCTAACTGGTCGTTTGTGCTAGACTATATGTAGCTTTTTTCCATTACTGAGTTATTGCTATTTGTACATAAGCCTGTTTGTAAATACTCTTCAGAGAAACAAAGGAAAAAACACATTGTATGACATGCCTTGGTAATTGTGTTGTTTTTTCTTTTTTATAAGTCTTATAAAAATTTAAACTATTTGGTTTTACTGTGTTTTTTTATATGAATACGTCATCTCATAAAAAGTGGAATCATCACACATGGAGAAGTTGTTATTTTAGATAAAGCATCAAAGTATGTAGAGTGGAAATAGTAAAATATCTGAGGAAATACAGTCGTGACCTGGAATAGGATTTTCAGATTTATCACCAACATGTAATTCACATTTAAGGACACTAGGTGGAGTCGTTGGCCCATAAACCATGTATGGATGAACAATATCGCAGTCGGTGTCTAAAAGCAGCTTTCTTTCTTTTTTTACAGGGTTCCTACACAGTTGGAATTTCCATGCTTATCCATACCCTACTTTTTAGAATTATTTTTGGAAATACCTACTTTTCTATTTTAGAAAACCGTATTTTAGAACTGTGGTAATAGTCTGGAAACATAAATATTTTTCCATACTTTATTTTTTAAGATCTAGAAATTAATCAAATTTATTTCCATACTTTCCACACTTAAGTAGGAACCCTGTCCATAGATTTAAAAAAAGCAGTATTTGGTTGTTTTAAAATTCTCCTGGCCTGGAAAATTGTAAAACGACAAACAAAAAAAATTTATCCTTAGTAATCAAAAGTAATACAGAAGTCAGTTTGGTTACAAGGTCCAAGGACTGTCCCCTGGGAAAAATAAGTCCACAAATTTAAACACTATGAGGGATGTCTGTGATATTAAAATGACACTGATAGTCTCCCATGATCTGAGGACACCCAAAAACGGTTCATCCATGTTGGTTAGATGTTGAATTGAAAACAAAGGCTGAGTTTGTAGAGACGGGTTCCCCCAAAGAGAGACATAAGTGATGAATGCGATGACATGTGTGACAGCAGTGTTATATCACACCACCAGCTACATGAGGTAAGTCCAAATGTCACCAACTTGAGGGGCTGTTGAGTTACACTTGGACTGTGACTATTGGAACAAAAACTAAATCTGAAATAATCTGCCTGTGTCACCTCAGTTTCAGCAAAGGCACAATGCAAATGAAAGCTGATTTACATGAATTATGGACTTTGTTAAAGAATAGCTTATAAAGTAATTTAATCAAATATATGGCGATTATGCGTTTTCTAGTTTGGCAATTGACAAAAAAAGAAAGCGTGACCAGCTGCAATTTCACATTCATCCACAAGATGGTAGTAAAAAAAAAAGAAAATGCCTCTGTTATCAACTTGAAATTTAATGAAGATGTTTATGCAACTTGTTCTGGAGATGCATGATGGCAAAAATGTGTCATCCTTACTTTTTAAGCCTTTGTAGCTGTGAGGTTTAACTCATGACACCAGGAAGTAAGCAGAGAGGCAGCAGATCATTCATGGTAACCTGTCCCTGAGGGGCTAATTTTTGCAGTGTCTTTTTCTGAGTAGCTTCTCTGCATGTCACTGTATTAAGATAAAAGGCTTAATTATCACCTCTAGATTGTCAGAGTGTTCTTAGACTGCTGAAACCAGGATATACATTAGTGTTGGGGGGGTGTCTGTAAACATGAGACATCTATTCAAATGTGGCATTTATCATCAAATATGCACCATGTCCAACTGAGAAGCAGCAGATTCTGGAGGTTTAGGTCAAATGAAACTACATCTCTATTTGGGGTCAAAGTTCAGGGGAAAACATAAAGCAAAGGGTCAAACCAGCAGTCGCTGCCACACTGTAGCCTCTAAATACACGACACCTAGACCACAAGATGAGAAAGTCACCCCAGATATAGATATTCTATCTTTGCCTTTACCCTGTTTAGTTTCTACTTCAAAATAATAAAGAAGACCACGTTCAGCGTGTTCCTGATGAAAGCCTTTAGCCTGATTTAAACTTAATCTCCAGCCCTGATAAATAGCTTCTCACATGATCTAATTTCAAAAAGAAAGTCTTGTATGAAATTACTCAATATGTTTCAAAGGTCTAATTCTGCACATTCCCTCTACAGGAGTAGGTTATCCTCCATTGACAGAAGCAGTAAACATCCTGTCTTGTTCTTGTCAAAGCTTATTGTTGTTGACCCGCCTCTCACTCTTTTGAGAGCAAATGGAAAGAACATGCGTGTCATCTGCGGTCGATGATAGAAAATACCTGTCTGAAGTGATTTGAGTTATGCAACCTCCGCACGACATCGGTTCACATAGACTATGTCAATGCACATCCTTTCTTGGATGCTTTGTGCTTCTTGACAGAAACACAATTCAATCAGAGATATTTCACGCAGGGACTGTCTGGAAACATTTATACACACATCATCCAGAAACATCCAATCTTCACTGTATGATTTGTGCTATATTCAAGCTTTTAAAGGCATGTCATGTCAAAGTTTTCAGGCTAATGTTTCTTTCTGAACTTTTGAACTTCTACCTTTCAATCAATCAATCAATCAATCAATCAATCAATCAAATTTTATTTATACAGAGCTAATTCACAACAGTCGTCATTTCAAGACGCTTTTCAAAGAACAAGAGCAGGTCCAGGTTTGAGGATCAAGAACCAACCTAAGATGGGTTTTGGCCCATCTCAACTAACATGAGTAGCAGTGGCAAGGAAAAACTTCCTTTTAACAGGCAGAAACCTTGGGCAGGACCAGCCTCATGTTAGACAGCCACCATGCTTTCCTGTGGATGAAGTTTATCAGAGGTCCTCATATACTCTGACAACCCAACTACCGTTGACATCATTAAAGGGATATTCCGGCATAAAATTAATTTAGGGTCAAACACACCGTAACACAGAGTTAGACAACCCCTCAAGAGATGAATGTTGCCGACCGCTTGCTTCTCTAGTTATACCAACTTAAGTAATGACCACAGGATAACAATACACAGCGGTCTGAGGAGCCATAAACAAACCTCAACCAGAACGCCACTCTATAGCCACAAATAATGCTCAGAACAGCACCTAACTTCATCAACAGTACAAAAGTGTCCCAGCCACAGTACTAGCCACCAAACATCTTTTTAACTTTGCCTGATTTCTTTAGCAAAGAGACTAAACACAACTCACCTACTCTCTTCCAGCAGCCGCTTGTTTGTAACGAGACCTCAGGCCAGTCCATTACGGACTACAGTTGAGTGACGCATCTCAAGGAAGAACATTAATGATCATTTCTTTATCATTTCCTTGAAGTAATATTCATCATATTAATCATTTTGCTTTAACACCAATTCCTCACTTTGCATCTGAACCCACATCTCCTCCATCTCGTCACCTCGTCTCAGCAAACAATTTGAATAGTCTGGCGCTCCTGAAACTTTCATACCATATGGTCTAGTTTCAAAGCTTTTCACACGGCCCACAGCCTTCCATTCCCCTCAATCAAAGTAATAGCTTTAGCTAGCTTCATCACTTATGCCCATTCATCCCTTAAAATCAGAACATCTACCATCAAAGTATCCCTCAACAGTATTAGCTTCTTTGTTAGACCCATTTTGGTCCATTTTGCACCTTCAGGTTATCACGTTCAAAAGGCCTCAAAAAAGCTGAACCTCATCCTGTTCCAAAACGTCTTCCCCTGACAGCCGACTTCCTAACCCCTTGCATCCAAATTCTTTGCACAGCATACATATCCCCTTCCCCAAACTCAACCCTCTAAACCATGTTACTTTCAGCCTTTGTCTTTTTGAGATATTCCCAGTTCACCTCAACATCTTCCACCTATGACCCTTCTTGGCTTGCTCGTCTCTCTGGCGTTTCCTTCCACATCAACAGATTTAACTTCAAATATAGAAAAACAGATCACCTCAACCTTTCTCAGTCCATATTCCTCTTCAAACTAAACTTCTCTCTAAGCCCCTTTGACCTCATAGTTACATGAAAACTGTAGACTTCATTGTCAAGCATCCTCACACTATTCTCTCTTTTCTACCAAAACAGGTCCAGTGGCGACACGCTTGTGGTTCTACCTCCACATCCGCCAATCTCTCCTAAAATCGGGTATCTCCCCAGGCCATTCTTTTCGTACAGGAATCACTACACCTGCTCCTAGACAATGAATCCTGGGAGGACCAGGCTTTCAAGGGTTAAATCTGCAGCCACACCAGTGACACCAAAAGAACCCTTATCCGTTCAGTCAAATAAAGTTCTTTCAGAGACATGGAACCAAAAGAGTGTAAAGACGTGCCCCCACTCAGGGTCTTGGCACCTCCATTCCTCACGATTCGGTTACCTCACATCTGTTCATCCCGCTCTCCCTAACCCTAACCCCCAATTTCCACTACATGCGGAACAGCTACGAAAAGGCTGTATCCGCCGATCGCAGCTGATCGTAACCATTCAAGTTGATGTGTCAATTTTCACTACGATCGCACAAGTTCTAATTTTCTTGACGCCAGAGCATGCCGGATAAATTCAGCACAAATTTACCCGTGCTGGAAAGGAAGTCAGGCACAGACACAAAATAAAACATCCGGCTTCTTTTCAAAATAAATCACTCCGTGTTTCAGGTGGATCGTATTTCAAACCATGCAAACGTTGGGGAAGAACAAGTGAAAGGTTTTCAGACGTCATTTCATCCTGATGACACCATGGATGAGAAGATGCTGATTTTAGAAGTCTAGAAGTCGATTTCCTCCTCTGAACGGACACAATCTACTGCTTATATGGTTAGCCTATGTGGCTAGGGACAACTTGTTATTGCACCATTGCAAGTGAATCCGTGGGTTCTTGTGAGGTCTTGCGATTCTTGCTGTCCATAATCTGCCACGCAATTCACCTCACAAACGGTAGGAATTGGCGGATGGCTAAAATTGACACAGTTCCAGATCGGAGCAAATGCTGTGGAAATTGGGGGTAATTCCCACCTCCATACCTACCTTTCTCACACAACCCTTTCCTCCTGACCCACGATTTTGTTTAAATCAAGTATTTTCAAACAGTACGTTGACTTGGTTTCTCTTGTGAGTGACGAATTTTATAAATTATGTAACAAGCATTCAGTTTCGTGGTATCTTCCCAAACGTAACTTCAGTGTTGCAAAGGGTGGTCGTGTTTGTGAACTCACTCTTAAAAGATGACAGAATATTTTGTTTTTTTTCTGGGAAACAAGAGATAAGAGATATCACTTTGACCACAGGTGTCACTAGTGTCAACACAAAAGTTCCTTGGAGACGCTTTAACAGCATAAAACAAACATGACTGATTTACAAACTGTCAGTTTTAGGATTAAAAACTAGAGTGATGTGGTCAGATTTGTTTTCTTTAGGATTCTTGCAGCAGTATTCTTTATATGATGAGGTTGACTTCGGCGGACTTCAACTATCATCTATTCTACAGGGAGAAAAAGCAGGAAAACAAGCCTTTCAAAGTTTTTTTTTTTACACAATTCCTCTGACTTGTAATTCCTTCTACTGGTAAAAAAAGAAGAAGTAGCTGATTTGATGTGGCTAAATCCACGTCCAGGATAACTCTTGTATTTGTTCTCATAGATTTAGTCATGCCTTACACCCAGCTGAGCGCTCACACAGGGATTTTCTATCAGGGCACAAGAGAACAAGGACAAACAATTTGGTATTTGGTTCGTTCTAGAGGACATAAACAAATTCAAGCCATCAGCATTTATTAAACTCTGATTAACCCTGAGAAAAATCTGTCAACAGACTGAGACTCAAAAGTTTTTTTCAATTATAGGATTTTTTTTTTCCAGGGGGTTAAGTGCTTGGCTTTCTGTTTCTTTAGCACAGAGCTTGCTGCTGCAGCTTTACCTCCCTGCTGTTTGTCTAAATGCAAAGCAAAACTAACAAGTTTATTTACCGATCAAAGTCAGAGTGTATCTCCCCGTTCTTTGAAAAACTGCCGGAAATACTGTGTTCAAAGATTTACCTCTATATGAAAAGCTGTTTACCCCTCTTTGGATTTTATCGTTTTGATTAATCTCAGTTTGTTAATTACCTAGACGTTTTAATCCTCTCACTTGGACAATAATAAGTTTTTTTCTTATTTGTTTCCCGTGGTTGATTCGTCACATTTGTAATTGTTTTGTCTCACACTGGGTCCCAAACAATCATAATGAAAATAATGATAGGCCTGTCGTTTGATAAATATTACCTTAAATTGTTTATATCATATATTTTAGCTGCCTTTAAGCATTCCTTTCATGATTAATTATCAGTCCTCAGAACAGCCTTGACTCGCCGACTAATAATCCTGCACATTCTTGATATATTCCTGTCACTTTAACCGCTGTGGCAGTGGACACAGAGGCGAATATTCACACAGATCTTTGCATGAATACTGAGACGAACTATTTTTAAAACGTTATTCAACCATGATCTCCTGCTGAGAAAGACTCCTGGGAAGGTGCAGGTGTGAGAGATGGGAGAGTATCCTGCCCTTAAACACACCTTTTATTATGCACACACACACAAGCACGCACGCACACACACACACACACACACACACACACACACACACACACACACACACACTAATTGCCCTGAAGCGGTGAGCTATTTTGTTTACCTCTGTATTTGCTCCATCCAGTCTTATGATCCCTTCAATCCACTGAGACGACCCACGGTCAAATCAAATTAACAAGACCTCCTGGTTGGACTGAACACCCCAGATGTTATGAAAATTAAATTTTGTTAATCCTGCCATAATCCCCTTGAGGATGGATTTATGGAGCTCTTTGGTTGCTGTGAGAGTTACAAAGTTAGAAAGTTAGATGAAAAACATCAACATTTGGTTTTTGTACCACACCATCATGCAGTCTAAAGCAGTGCCAGCTCCTGCAGCCACACACTAAAGTGTCCTTGGGGAAGACACTGAGCACCAAACTGCTGCCTGTAACAAAGTCAGAGGTGTGTAATGGGGTATTAATGGACTTCATAATACACGTCCCTTGCTACAGCATCCTGTGTCATCAGTGTAAGTCGATGGTGTCAACAGGTTAATGTGACCTGTGTTGAGAAAGCACTTCAAGCAAATGCAGTGTATCAATTACTAAATGATATCTTTTGCACTGTGATTTTCTTCAGCCAAACACCACATGTCACTTTGCACGACCATGTTAAGTAACATACCTATTAGCAGTCTTCAAATGAAGCAACTGAGTCACAGCTCTGTGACTCACACACCGCAGGAGCGAGTCTGTTTCGTAAACATTGCCTGCTGCAGTGCACTGATGCTTTTAGCTAAGAAATGTATCTCATATCCTTTTTTGACTTTTGTGAAAGTTTTCACATCCTTATTTAGCAGCCTGAGGTTTTCATTAACTTTAAATCAGCCTTGAGAATGAAGGCTGAACTTTGACTAAGCAGCCATATGCAAACGTACAGTAATGATCTTGAGTAAATTAATTTTAAATGAGATTTGGTAGGTGTAAAGATTTTTAATTTGAATACAACGCTTTGGTTTATGAAGTTAATTTGGGTTAGAGACAAAGAAGCAGTACTGAAGACAAATCAAAGTACGACAAATAAGGTACAAAAATAAACCGCAGTATAGCTGTAATGAGACCAAATAAAAAGCATTGAATCAATACAACAAATTCATAATTAGTAGTTATAATTAAAATGACATTTGACAAACAGATTTGAGCTCTTCTTTGTTTGTCAGACATTTCTGTGTGTGTGGTACATGCAGGTATTAAAGAGAGGTAAGCGGTAAATGAGCTCTCACACAGTGGACTGACACTGAGTTCAGACATAATGTTACATTTTAATGATGGCAGGACAGATTGCAAACAAGCGCATAAACTGAGACACAATAAGCAGACATTCATTAAATCTGACGCTGAGTGTTGCTTTGTCAACTTGACCTCAGCTTGGACAAAAAAAAAAAAAGGGAATATTTATGAGAAACCTTCGGTAAGAAATCCAAATGAGTTTTTTTTTCTTTTTATATAAAAATGAACCTTTTGTCAATCTCCAAGGTGACATGAGCTTTATATGGTAAGAGTTCAGTGAAAAACCCTTAATTCAAAACAGCTCGAGCCTTTATTGATTCCTTGAGAAGATGTTCTGTACTGTGATATTTCTGTGTCTGCACTTTAAGGTGAAACCGTAGTCTGCACCCTCAGTGCAAATAAAGGAATGAAAACAGGAACACTCCTTTTAATTTTGGTTCAATGAGGTAGGCATCATTAGTGAGTCTGTTGATAATGCCAGCTCCTTTGTGCACGACGTTCAGGAACTTTCTTCCATTAGTTCTGTGTTGCAGTATGATACCAGGTGTTTTCAAATGGACCCAAAAGAAGAACCAGAGGCAGATGAAGCATTAGAGGGGAATTTATTGATTGGAGGGACGGAGGAGGGAAGGGATCCAGGGTCGGAGGTGTGAGGAGGGCATCTGAGGATTGGAGGCGTGAGGGCTTGTGGCTGAAGCAGGCAATTCTGCAAGAGAGAGAGGCATCTAGGTGGAGGGAACTGCCCAGTGTCTGTGAACAGAAGACAAACACAACTCCACACAGGAAATAAAAAACTAAATGTTTCAATCACCACATCCTCTTCTCAATGGGTCCACTCAAAGTGACAGAAAAATATCAGCTTCACAGATTTGATCTTTAAGCTTCGACCACTCGACCACTTAACACCACTGCCTCTTAAATTGTGGAACAATACTGCGGTCAGGACTTCAAGAATTGAAGAGGCAAGAACTTTTCTACTTTTCAATTTTTACCTCAGATGCCCCCCAACAAAAAAACCCTTTGAGGGAACAACAAAGCTTCAACACCAAAGACAAGACTTTTAATGACTTTTCTCTCTGCTACCATTTAACCAGTCACTCTAGAGACAGCCAACTGAACAAGCCACACGTCTGTTTCCCCAAGGCCCATCTTTGTCCTCTTCCACTGTCAGAATTGGACTCAGTTTGCATTCACAACATTGATTTAATTTTCCCTTAATCAACTAACTACCTTTCACAATTATGTTACCTGCAGTCCTGATGTCATTGCTAAAAGAAAGCTACAGTTATATGACAATTATCCCAAGCTGTTCAGCTGAATAGTTATTACTCGGGCTCCAACACATCGTGTTTGTGTCCGTCTGCAGCATGGTTTGTGTATTCCCTGCATCATTACCTCCAATAAGTCTCACAACAGCTTACCTGTGCTTCTCTGACCTTAAATCTCAAATGATAATTAGAGAAGATGCTTGGTAACATGAATAATGTGGTTTTTTTTTAACCTGCCCTTTCCTTTCATGTGCTGAAATTAACTATAATTAGCTGTTCTCTCCCATAAAAGAACTTTCTCTGCTTGTCAGTCCTTCTTATTCCATGAACTTCAGGCAAAAGGCACAACATGTAAATGAATTCAAACATTTTTTACACTTATTGAAATGAGAGACGCCTCATTAGGGTTAAAAATCTCTTCTTACAAAAGTGTTTGCCTAAGATGAGCATCCTCTTTTTTCTTTGGTTCAAGAAGTTCTACGGAGACAGAAAGCTCCTTTAAATCCTGTGATTGGTCTCTGGACAAAGACTGCAGCTTGAAGCATTTTTCAATTTCAATAAACAGTATAAACAAGAAAGGGGCGAGTCAAGAATCACCCAGTCAATAAGGACATGCCGGTAATTTAGTCCACTGGAGGACAATACAGACCAGCTGACTCACACGTATGGAGCATTGATGGGTTAGACCTTTAGAATTGTCATTGACCACAAAGCTCCATAGTAAACATTGTACACAGTGAAGGCACTGAAAAGAAAATGTAAAGAGTTATTGAATGAGAGGTAAAAAGACGGAATAATTGATTTTAAGTCATAAACATTCAATCCAGTTACTTTGAGATGTAAGGTTCAATGAGTTTGTCTCTGAGTTTGAGATTGAGGATCAATTTGGACTCATGGAAGATATCTTGTGCAGAATCAAAAGCATCTTGAAAGTGAGTTTAATGTGATGAAGCAGAGCAGTAACTAACTGTATCAACAACATATTGATGAAAATTTTGGACAGAAACTGAGTACTACTGATGGGTTAAATAGTGAATTACAGTGGTCTAAAGGCAGAGCCTGATTTCAACTGA